TGCCCATGAAAGTAATTTTAATATGCACACTCCAGTATTTTTAGTGCCTGAAGCTCCTGGAAGTGTTTCTTGATGTGTTTTGTCATTATATAAACTGAATGAAACAGTACTTTGTATCTACAAATTCATTTTAGGAGGCAGCCAGGTAGTACAGATGAACAAATGCATGCAGACACTCCTGTAGGCTGACCAATTGCATGTGTGAGCTGCCATTATACTAGTGTGGAAGGGCAGTTGGAGGGAAAATTGGGCCCTGTAGATATCCAGCTGAGTAAACAAGCTCCAGGAAGGATGGCAGACATGTTAGTCTGAATAAAATACAGCTAAGCTAAACTGATTAAAAAAAAAAAAAAGGTCAGAATTTGTGCCAGTTACAGCACACTCTTTGTATATCCTCTAGTTTCACCATATTTTTCTCATTATACTTCCCATCTCAAAAACATTCTGAACAATCACTGAAGGATTAGTTTAAGAACTAATAGCATGTGCAGCTTTGTATGCAGTAAGCCATAAAACTGTGTTTCAGTTGCACAGAGATGAACATGAAATTAACTGGATGAGAAAAGAAGGAATAACAACTCTATCAAGCCCAAGTAAAATTTATTCCCAGATACAACATGGTCTTGCTGGTTAGGATATGCTTCATAACCTGTTTTATACTATGAAGCTAGGACTTTCCTGTAGCTGTGGCCAAAATCCCCCAAAATCCAGTCTGTTGGCTGCCATGTGGGTGATGAGCTGCTCTTTTTTTGTAAATACAAAGTGTAAGAAGGGTAAGTGCAGACAATGCAGGAATTTGAGCCCTATAAAGGTGGAATTTGATCATTTGTTCTGATAGCTAATGGTTGCTAACTCACTGGGTTAGACAGCAGGTCTGGGACTTAGAAGATCTGCCTCCAGTTCTCTGTGTGACCTCTTTTGGCGAAGACATCTGGGTTTCTGAAGTGGGAGTTGTGTAAATCCACGGGGCCAAAGGTGTATTATACAAAGGTCACAGAAACCTAGATAATCCACTTCAGAAGAAACAGCCATATTCTACAGGTCAGATAAGGAATTTGGGCTTCCTGGCATCCAGCAGTGCATAGATGACTGGAATACATGTGTTTTCCACCTCATCCTAATAAACTTTTTGGATACACCAATGACCAAGGAGAAAGATCATATAAGAAACTGCATTTAGTTTTCTACCTTTGAATTTGGATTAAAGTGTAACAGATGAGTATGCCTTAGATGATCACATTGAGATAAATTTATTTTGGTTTTTCAAATGTTCAAGTTTTATGCATATGCCTTTATTATAGAAACTACTTGTAGGGAAATTGAAAATACCTTTCTGCATCCAGTTTGGATCTTTGTGGCGTTGCCCCCCCCCCCCGGTCTTTTCTATACAGTTGCATATTCAGGGCATATTTCTACAAAACCCCATACATGCAGCATGTGTATGGATAGGGGGGGAAATTCTGGTTATTTGTTACTAACATCCAGGACAGGAAATTTTAATTGTAGGTTTCTTCACTCAAGAATAATACAACACCTTCAGCATCATCAGCTGTTCAGCTTTATGTCAAGTGTTTTTAATCGTGGCACTGAAAAATCGGGATATGGTTTCTTCATTCTTCTGCTTTAATACTCACAGAACAAATCAGCCAAGAGTTTATTTTTTCTTGACTAATCAAATAATCTCATATCCCAATAACTCAATATTCTGAGAGTGGCAAATGCCTTTTCCACCAGTCCAAGTGTGTTGGTTAGGGGGTTGGTTTGGGTATTTCTGTTTTGGTTTTTGTTTGTTTGCTTGTTTTGGTTTTAAATTTTTTGGTTTTTCAGTTTTGTTTAGGTGGTTTTGGGTTTTGTTGTTTGCTTTGTTTTGGTTTTTTGTTTGGTTTTTTTTTCCTGCATCTTGAAGAGTCGGGAATTTTGTTTGAGGAATAAAGCATGGATTTTTAACCCAACGTAGTTTTCAGGTCTATGAAGTTACAGCACTGCAGCCACTGCACACCAGGCAGAGATGGGGATGCTGTGTGTCTCTGCAACCCTTCTTTCTTCTTGCTTGCTTTTTTGTATGAACAAAGAGATCTAGCACCATCTTCGTGCCTCAGAAGAATCTCCTTGTGAATAGCAGAGGAGGGCCTTATAAAGTCAGGGAAATAAAATATTTGTTACCAACACAGAGGAAGCAGTTAAAAATTATTTTACCTGTAGGAATCTTGGGCACTGGCCTACTTCCCCAGGTGAGATACCTGAACATGAGTTTCTTTTTTCTCTGGCAGACTCTTTAGGCTTCTTTTGAAGATACTGTCACTTGAAACAAATGCTTGATGTCAGGTGGAACTCAAGCACTCCATTTTTTGTCATCTTCCAGTTAAACAGTGGCTTGGCCCATACCAAAAGACAAGCAAGAATTGATAACTGAAGGATTGTACAATCCCTGCTAAAGGGCCTGCTTTTTGGAAAGATTCACGTAAAATCTGAACTTCAAAATCCTAACAAATTTTTGCTGATGTTCTACTGAGCACCTAAATGAAGAATTCCTACAGGGTGAACTTAACAACCTGTGTTGCTTCTCAGAAGAAGATAAAGGAGAAGGATTGTGACCATGTGAGCATCTTACACCTTTCCAATGAGAACTGACAACTAATCAGGAGTCTCAGCAGCATTGTGTCTGAGTACCTGCTTCATAAACACAGCTTTACTTGCGCTTCTCCAGGGTAAACGTATGCCTGGACCTCAGTAAGTGAATATGAGGAGATGCACACACTGAATTAAATAAATAATTTTTCAGGACCTGATTTCTGACTGTTCGATGAAATCAGTATGCTTGTAAACATCTAATTTTGTCCTGATTAGCTCAAGTTTTAAAGTATATGCAATTGAACCATTTAATTAGGAAATGGCAGCTTAAATTGGGCTTTTTTACAAGAAAATGTTTGGGTTTGAAGACTTTTTCAACAGAGTGTTTTTCATTTTTTTGAATCAATGCCGTTTCATTTTCACTCAAAGTCACTCAAAGTGACTTTCCGTTCATTGTTTTTTGAGATCTCAGTTTAGGCACACAAGCTCTGCTGTTGGCACAGTGGTACTAAAATGACATTTTTGCAGCCCACAGACCTCGAGTTGCCAAAAGCAGTTATTTTCAAAAGGTCTGAAACCATGCTTGTGTTATTTCAGTAAGCCTTTATCTTCACCATCACTAATACTCCCTGTCTGCTTATTAGTTTGTTCGTGGTGATGTTGCATGGGGCATGAAAGTCAACTCTTTGTGCCGCAGTGTAGGCTTGTGATGTTAACAGAAGACCACAGTGAAATACACTGAAACTGTTTATATACGGAAGCTATGCACAGGTAAAAGCAGTGATGTTTTTGTCACTATGTACTAGCATTTTTGGTGAAAATTAGTCTCTTACTTGGTCTCATTATCCTTTCTGCTGTTGTCAGTTCAGCTGGTTTTATTCTGTTAAGCGCAATTCCTTGGAGCTTCCCCATGGAATTGCTGAGTTATGAATGAGTGCATCCGGCTGGGACGCTCAGTGCACACTTCCCAAGTCTTCCTGTAAATTCCGTATAGAACTCACTTATCAAAAACTAGACACTGAAAGACTGCAGATACTTAAGGTGTAGAACTGAAGGAATTGTTGAACTTCACCCAAGGTCACGTCCAACTGATCAGATTTCTTACCTGCATGCCTTTGTCATTCAAGCAAAAATTACTCCTTTTCTGAATGTGTTAGCCAACCAAATTGATATCCCTCGACATCAGAGAAGAGCCTTCTCTTTAAAATGTAGATGCTGTTTTCTGAAATATTAAGTCAAATGCAATTGAACAGCAAGATATTAACGCTACATCTGTGTCACTCTCTAGATGTCCTATTTTAACTGCTTAGAAAAAGAGTTGTGAAAAATTAATTTCACAGTTGAAATTAGTGTGCATGTATGGATAAGCATGAATACTTCGGCAGTTTTGGAGAAGTATGAACAAAATGACTGCTTACAAGCACATCTTGAATTAGTCTGAAAAGCAAATGATACAGAAGAGTATTTAGTTGAAACAGTTATCTCAACTGCATCTCTTTTGTTTGAGAAAGTTAACAATGGCAAATTTTCTGATAGCAATTTGTGGCTGATTCTGATAAAGGATTTAGGAGAAAAGTTATGTGCATGGATGGAAGAACAATTTGTTTTCTCAGATAGGCAGTAAACAACAATGTATTTCCTAAAAGGACGTGGAGGGAAAAGTATTTCGTCTGCATCTAGGAGAGTATTGATGAGGTTCCTTATAAGTGTTAGGTCTAGAAAAGGTTTTGGCAAACATGCCTTAAATGCACTTTTAGTTATATATTATAATTCCTGAAGTTTATGAACATGAAGATCTATATTGTAGTACAGTAGTAGTTGTGTACAAAACCAGTGTTATGTAGCATGAGCTGTATTTATTTATCATGTAAAATGGATGGCAAATAAGCACTGTTAAATTAGTTTGTGAGGAGGATAGCAACTGTGGGTCAGCTTGTTTAGTGAGCTTTTTGCTGGATATGCTCTCTCTATCCAAACATCTTGTGCAGTTATTTCACCAAGGCAAATGGGCATTTGAAGGTAAGAATCTATCCCATGAACTAAATATGTTTTGATTATTATCAGCCAGAGGAGCTGGCTAGGTGGTTGGAATTGATTAACTCAATATGTCTATTACATCTTTAGAATTTTAAGTTGCTTAGATGAATTGAGCCACACTATTATATGAAGTTCTTTTGGGAACAAGCTTTAAAAAATTGGCACTGTTGAGACTCTGGAGCCATTTTCAGACAGATATTAATTTTCCCAGATATAAACTGAGTCAAATTTTATGCTTCTTTCCATTTACATAGGGCTTGCTGTTCTCTGTTCTGTGCTCATTGGGGTATGGAAAGATGATCAACTGAAAGAAATTGGACTAGCTTCTTCTAGTGCTGCACCACTGAGCTCCTTTTGGACTTCTGATTCACCATGTTTGCTCTTTCCTATAGGTGTGGGGTATCTCATGTCACAGCAGAAGATTTGCCAGGTTGTTGGACTTCATGGTCTGCCCACAACGCTAAACTTTATCTGTTAAAACTGGACAAAACGAAGATGCAGAAACACATGAATATGAAAAAAATACCCAAACAACAAAGTAGGCCAAAACTTCGATCAGGTCACAATAGTACCAGGCATTCAGCACGTAATGGATGGTATGGAAAGATGTCTGGGGTAAAATCAGAGGAAACTCAGAAGTTATATTCACAACCTAACAGAAATTATAATGGTACAGAAATTATAGGGTAAAATGCAGCTGCTACTCCTTGGGTGGAATACAGTTGGCAGCTCTGCAGTGACTCCCCACACAACAGTAAACACCTGCTAAGGGGGATGGAATGGAGCACCATGGAGACACTGTGGCCAGGCTCTAGAAATCCTTGCAGGGCGGGGGACTTGATGGTACTTTGCAGATGATAAACTGCACAGCACCTGTCACCCAAGGGAGATGGGAGAAGATGTCCTGCTGTTGAGCCAACAACTGTGGTGAAATCTGTCTCCTCAGGTCAACTTCATTAAAGCTTAATTGTAATATTAGAGCACACCTCCATCCCAAAGGTACCCACCTCCAGGGTATGATCACCCACACTGGGCACATGGCCTGTATTTTTTTGACTTTATCTTTAAAAATGAAGCAAGAGAATTTTACACCAATCAGTAATGAAGGTATTTATGACTCAAGTCACTCAAGCTTCACCTAAATATAAAGAAATAGTATAAAAGTAAGTTGAGAATGGGGGAAAAGTTAGGGAGGTGCTGGGTTCAGCCATTGGGCTGAATCTGTCTTCTCACCCACAGGGACACCTGTTGGATAAGCACCATACTGTATGCACACTGAATACCTTTACTGGGGATTAAAGCTTCTCTGTGTATTGCTTTGAATATGTTTTTGCAGTCAGATACTATCTCCGGCAACCCTCGAACCTTAACTTGTCAAAATTTTATATTAATAAAGAGTTATTCTGTAAACTGTTACGTGAGTCCTTCATGGGTTCTGGCAGTCACTGGCAATGGGTAACATACTCTAACAAAGTGGGAAGACCCACTGTGAGGTCACAAACTGGGAAGACCTACTGAGGGGTCTCCCTAATGCTGTTGGCATATTTCCCTGAGTAAGTCAGTGAAATTGCCCTCCGATCAGTCAGGACTGTTCAGTGAGGGGATCCCACAAGACTTTCCTGAGGCACTGGCAGACAAACACTAAAAGTCAAGGAAATCTACTCATTTTCATGTGACAGATGGGTACCTAAATCACATGCCTATAGTTACAGGGTTGCTGATAACTACTCAGTCCAGCTAGTGCTTTTGTTGGGAGAAGTCAACTCTCCCCTCTTGCATGACATAGATATCTATGTGAGGTCCATTGATGTAGCACCAAAACTCCAGGCAAAATACATCTGCATTGACCCACGTGCATCTGGCTTGCCTACCATGGGGTACAACCTGAGGAGTAACCTGAAGTGCTCTCTGTTAGGACAGCACCATCCTACCAGAACTGAGCAGGAGGGAATGTTAAATAGAAGATCATAGTAGGTGCAGTCCTTTTAACAACTGGACAGACCCTTCAGCAGAAAAAGACCTGCTAGGAAATTGCAGGTCTTACGTAAACATCTTAAATCTATGGAGATTACTTCTATAGCCCCTGTACGGGACTCATAGTGGTGATCCATTGGATGACCAAAGAGAAATCAACCTTATGCCAAGGCAGGCATATGCTCAGTTCCTGACTAGCACAGCCTCTGTGACTCACAGTGCTGAACATACTGCTGAACAATGTTTAAAAGCCTCCTGTGCTTCCTGCCTTCCTGCAGCTCAGAACTCAGTCAGCTACTGCATTAGCATTTCTCACAGAATGATGCTGGGCCTGACTCAGCCTGATGCTGTGTGAAGTCAGAAGTCTTGCCTAGTGTCTGGAGGGGATTACGGTTACTGTCAGCACAAAATAAGGAGGATCCCTTTTACTGGAAGAATGCTGTCAAAAAAAATTTATCTGTCTTGGGCAGTTAACAGGAAATAAAGTTCCTACATCTTTCACATAGGAATTTTTCTTCTAGTCCTGGCCTATTCTTCACATTTTCTCACTTTTCTTGTGCAATATAACCAGGTGAAATCACTTTTGCCACAATGCCAAACACAATATAGAGCTTCTCCCTGCCTCTGTAGTTTTCTCTTTACAAGGAAAATGGGCTTTCAGACTGTGAACTGGGGCAGGATTTGAAAGACTAAGAAAATGCTTATCATGGGGAAATCATTAACCATTACTACCTGAGCAGTGATAGTGAAAATAACCATGTCTTACTCAGAGATAATCCAATAGGCACACTGATACCCCTGGTTTATTCTCAGAAACACAGACACATGATGCTCCCAAAACCAGGGAGACTCTGTTACCTGTGCCTCATATCTAATAACAAACCCTTTTATGTCATTCCAGCAAAAACACTGAAATGAAATACATAAACTAAATACAATTTTTTTAAAAAAGAAATCAGCCAGAACAGTGTCTTTCCCTTTCTTTGCCTTTTGTTTCCTCAGGAATTTTGTTTCATCAAGTAAAACCAGTGGAGGCCATTATTTTCTGCTCCAGCTGTGCTGTGTGGAGGCATGTAGTCCTCCCTAAATAGAAATGAAAAGTCCTGGTGCCATAAAGGATGTCTCTGTGTGAGTTTATTTGAATGGGTTTTGCAGGTGCCAATGACAATAGATGAAAATATTTACCAGAAAACAGCAGGAGAAACAGGAAAAGTACATGCTGAGGAGCAGTGTGGGAAAGTCTCCCAAGAACTGCTAGACTGCAGAGACCAGCAGGCTTTTTGGGTTCCCGTGAGGGCTGAGGCAGGGCTGTATGTGCACCAGAGGGGCTTTCCAAACACATACCTAAAACCTGTAAATCCATCACTGTAAGCAGCTGGTATTGGTCTCCCAGCTTCAGCCCAGCACAAACGAGTGTGTGCACATGTGGAGGTGTGTGACTGACAACTACAGGAGACAGTAGGTGAATGTGACCTGTGGTTAGCTGTTTGTTATTAATATTGATGATTTGGATCCAGTAGTGGCTGGGTAAATAAAAAGTTTTCTAGGAGATATGAGCTGTGATTTGTGTCTGCTCACAGGCCTATTGACCATCACGGAAAGGGAATGACCAACACTGGAATAGTCTCTACATACCATGGATAGCCTCAGGACACTAGGCTCCATCCACTAGTGAAAAAATTACTGCTCTAGACTTGCAATAACAAAAGGAGTTTTTCGGAATCACTGATGGTTTTTTCCTTACGAAGACAATCAAAGGCTTTTCTACTAGTGGATAAAACCAACAAGATTTCAAGATCATCCCACTATCTGAACATTGATTTGTTCTCTGTAATTGCTTAAATTTACAATACTAGTTTGGATCTCTCTGTGCCAGCACTGCTTATCATTCAGAGCAACATACTGTGTATTCTTTGTTTGAGCCTCTCTATTAGTAAGTGTTGGGACCTCATGGAAATAAATTAAAGCATTTCTGAAGGCTCATTATGACTTCCTTTCTGGATATAAAATGGTAATGTCCCCTTGAGTAGAGTCAAAAGCTGAGCCAGCCTGGAGAAAACAAACCTTACAAAAATCTAAGCCCATGGGGAAAAAGTCAGATTGTCAAGTATTTTTTAACATGTTCGGAAGACAGTAGCTAGAAGTGGTTGAACTTGCTTACATTTTATTTTTGTTCTGCCATTTTTTTAATTTTCTTGTCTTCTTTTGTTTCTTTGAAAATACATAAAAATATGCTTAACCATTAAAAAAATTGGGTCAAATTCACTTCAAATTTCAAGATACTTCAGATAAAAAAACCCCACCCTTCTATCAATATGGTAGTTTGAATAATCTTGAAATTCACTGCTATTATGTCATAAGCAATACCATCTGCTTTCTTCATAAAGCTTTTTCTTAAAGGAAAAAGACGTCATCTGAAAAATTTTGTGCAATTACATGTTTCTCTCTGTGTTGGGTATGACTGAATCTTTAAGTAGCATAAGAAATTAGATGTCTTTCCAGATAGTAGCCTTTAAAAAAAAAAAAAAATCCCATCTGCAAACCAGACGTGGCTGAGGGAAGGGCAGACCTCCCAGCAGTCAGAAGGCGGCATGGGAGCAGCATATGTATGGGAAGCATACACACTGACCAATGCTGCAGACATTGTTTTTCTGGGTGCCAGAAATCCCCATTCTGCCCTCAGCTAATGCCAGAAGGCAACAGGCAGCAACAGAAGGGAGGCTCATCATTAACTCTGTATGTCCTGGATGCACAAAAGTGAATATCCATGTGGTACTTGTGCCTACAAGGAGACGCATAGTCTTCCTGCAACTTCAGGAACCGCATTCCTTTGGGATGGAGGAGCAGCTCCACTGGTCACTGAGGACTTGGTAGAAGAGGATACTGCAAGATTGGATCTGCTGTGGTCTAGACATCTGAGAGCAGCTTGAGATCTCTCAGCTAGCTACAGTGTGATAAAACTTTTATCCTCTTTTAAGCACAGTGACCTGGCTCATGATTACCTAAAGTGTGGGCTTGCACTCCCAGCCGTCACGGTGCTGCTGGGGATTTGTGAATGGCCCTAGTAAGGCAGATTAGTGGCTGAAGCAGTTGGTTTCTTCACCTGTGATTACACTCCAGTGGTGGGAGACTACAGAAAATCCACCTGTTCATATTAGTCTTATTTTTCCTTGTGCAGGCAAGTAGGTTTGTTAGCTGAGGTTAGGGATTATGTGTGAAAGTGAGTGGTGCCACCCTTCTTCTCCAGGGTTTGTCTCACACCCACAGTTGACTACTGTGAAATTATGAGCCTGTTAGTGAAGGCCATGCGAAAGATTCCGCCTCAGGACATCTGCCTGTACACTGCCTGCCAAAAACCGGATAAATCTCTACCACTAGTGCTCTCCTTACCTAATAACATTTAGCACAAAGCCAGGCTGTTTGACCAGCATGTAGGAGACAGAGCCCGAGTTAATGCCTCCTGTGCACTCTAAATGAGCTGAGCCATCCCGCAACATCTGAGCATAGGCAGATTTTCCAATATTCAAAAATTTTCTCAGGTCGCTATTGGTCATTGTGACCTAGCTGAAATGAAAAAGAAACATCCTCATCTATTGTACAGAGCTCTTGAAGAAAAAGATTTATATAAATTTAGGGGACTGTGATGTCCAAAGTCCTTATTAATTCTTTGTCTGCCTCTTTTTGATGCTGGCCTTACTTGTGTAGTTAAAACAATTGAGAAACTGAGGTAGGAAGCCTACCTCAATGGCACACATGGAGAAGAGAAAACAGTTTTAAGCCTTTGATGTACCTGGTGTTTTCTTTTGTCAGAGTTCTAGACTTGCTCAGAAAATCATTTCATTGTGTGCTGTCAGTGTTTCAGACCTAAAAAAAGGATCATGAATGCCAGCTCTGACCAGTTAGCTGAAGGGCTCTCAGCTGCAAGAATTATTAACTCAGAAGTTGACCTTCATAGAGGTGGAAAACAAAAAAGAAAAATTCGTTGTTGCTCTTTTAATGTGATAATTTTAGAGATAAAAATTCTGGAATTTGGAGGGGCGGTTATGATATGTTTTGTTTTGTTTTTGTTAAAGAGGGACTTGCAGCTAAAGCACATATAGAATCTGCAATGCAGCAGTAAAACTGATGTTGATCTCTTCGGCCAGGGCTAGCAGATCCTGTTCTTTCTGTATATCCCCTTTAATGAGAGCCAGGGTTTATTGATTTCGTCT